CTACAACTAAGGGATTGAAGACCCGAAGATTGCCGGTTTGGAAGCAGTTAGTGAAGTCCACAGGCAGGATGGAAAGAAAATATGGCACATTTTTTAAAAGACCATATAATAATATAAATGACAGTAAGAATAATTTGCATATTATATCAGCCAAATTATAGCATGATTATTATATTTTATAGTCTCCAAGTAAGTAAACATCTAATGACAAAAGCAGTAGCTGGCATTGTTTTGATGCCACAGATAATTGTATTTGTGCTGCATCTGTCTACATATTTTCATGTCCATCAGTTGAGGCTCAATTTGTTAATTTGATAAGTACGTTCCTGAAAACGTTGGCTGCAGGGAGAACAATAAATTGATCGACGTTCTGTCATGTACTGGTATCTTATCTAGTGTTTCTTCCAGAGATGTTTAATCCTCTAACACTATGTCATTCCTCTCCGTCTTAGGGGATTTACTGTCCTCTTTCACTTCTTCTTCTTCTTCTTCTCGATCGCATCACACTTGAAGTCTGGTATCTGTCATAAATTGGGCCGTCCTGCTCAGTTCATCTGTCGTCCTCTTTCACTTATTCCGATCTTCTGCTGTCTGTCTTTATGGGTTCTAAAGTTGATATCTGTTGTGATCAGGCTTTTCTTGAAGGTGTTTTTGTATGGTAGTACATTGTAGTCATCATCATCATTGCCTTTCTCATCCTGGATCAGGATAATATAGGCCACGAACAAACACTTTTCCTTTCCTGGGTTAGTCGCTTGATGTCATTGTCACTCCATGTCTTCCCACTTTTCTGTACATCCATTTCCGTGACTCTTCACCAGGTTCCACGTCGTGGTCTTCCCCTTGATCTTTTACCCAGTGGGTTCCAATTCCTTGTTGCAAAAGTGTGTCGAACCGTTTTTTTTGTTATTTTTGTTCTCCCACTTTCATTACCCTCTCAGGAATTCTACTTTTCACCCATCTTTTAAGCGGCAAAAGTATGGGGAACATATGCGTCTGCCTTGCATAAATTAACTGTGAACCCTGCACCTCTGTTTGAGTAATATTGTCGAACATACATTAATACATAATTAAAAATGCACATACATAAATACACACCTTAATACATGTACATAAATGCACAACATTACATCAATATAGAACAATTTTGCAAACAAGCCATTGTTTGTTTGTTTGTTTGTTTGTTTGTTTGTTTTATTTTAGGTAGTGTTGTCGTGTTTTGCTCAAGGTACATTTCCATTTCTGTCTTAATTCTAGGATTCCTTTTACAACATTTTTGTTCATAGTTGTGAACATAAGTAATGAAAGCCAGCAGAATCTCTGAGATTAATCCTTTTTTAAAAGCGCGCTCATATGGACCTTATGCAGTTGCGAGCCTTGGAGCTATTACAAAATAGCACCTTTAAAAAAAAGGGACAGTACGGTCAGTTTAGAGTCAGCTCAATTCAATAAGAAACCCGAGATGATAAATATTTTCAAATATAAAAACAATACAAGTAAAAGGAGTATGCAAACGTGGCGCGGGAGGGGGGGGGGTGTCAATGAAGTAACACTGATATAAAAGAAAACGAACAGATGTGAAGCACAAGAAACCTCTAAAGTATTGTAGAGGCACATCACTTCGATCATTACATTACTTAAGGATCATAGGATACGTGTTAAATTCCTTAAAAGGCCTACAGGTACATTTTCCACGGAGGGTCTAAACACACCAACCTCGGAGTCAGTGATGGCACCTCCAGGTATTCCAGGTATATGCACATTATTTCCCTAGCCATCAAAGAGTGTTGTTTTCATTGATTTGTTCAAAATCAGTTCATGGCAGAACTCTGCAGCGGCCTTAAATAATGTCAGTTGAAAAGGCTTAAAATTGACGGGTGTGTATATGCAGAATGCATAATTAAGAACCTGTGTATGCAGTTAGTCTTCCCCTTAGAATGTGTATGGAAAAGCGCAAATGGTGGGAAAGGGTGGGGGGGGGTCAATCTAACAGTTTGAGCCTATCACTGGAAGTTCAAATGACGCTTCAATAACGGAGTACAGGAGCATTTCTCTAACAATTAAACAATAGGGACATAAAACGCAATAAAGGCCCATAAAGTTTCTTTTAAATGATTGTATGCTCACCAGGTCTATAATAATCTTCAGAAAGTGAAAGTTTCATGTCGGCAAAGCAAGACGTCCGTCGGCCTGACCCGGGGGCCACGGAGCCGACGGAGCCACACTGCAACAACACAGTAAATGACTGCCGCTGGTGATTAAGAGCTGTGTTCAGGCTGTGCTCACAGCGGTGAAAATGAACACACGTGGTGGTTCGTGGGGGTAAACGGTATGACAAGCCTTCAGTACAGCCATTTTTTCTTGTATTAACGTTCTACTGCAGTTTGAACAAACTTAAGAAATAACATATTCAATCACCCACGCAAATGCAACATGTTGCCCCACCCTCTTTTTGGATCTTGACCAAATGTTTTCTGAAAAGTATTCGTGCACCAGGAGGGGGGTGAGAAGAGGAAAAGGGGGGAGGGGGGTAACTTTATTTTAAAAATCAGCCGATGGACTCTGAGGTGGATATTGGAGCGGGGAGCGGAGCACGTATGGCAATGCCCAGAGTGCTATGATGTTGTTCCCAGGATCAAGTAATCAAGTAATCAAGTAATTCCAAAAAGCCTGCTGTATCCATCTTCAATCGGAAACGAAATCGAGGGAAAGGGAAAAAGGGGGGAGAGATGCATGGAGGTTAAACGTCGAATTTACTGACCAAGGAAACTACCGTGAAGCTTCCATCGGATGGGGGCATGACTATAACACAATAGGGTCATTTTAAGCTCTTTACCTTTGAATTGGCCACTCTTCAGACAGGCCTCTTTCAAGCCGTGATCTTGCCAAGTACCCTATTGTTCTAGAAAAATCTGTGGAATTTAAAATCTATTGTGAGGCTTACTTTTATTGTCTTTCATTGCTTTTCAAATTTACAACGACGCCAACACGATCCTTATTGTGTTCATTTTTGTAGTTAGGCCTAGTAAAGTTCTGTGAAGAGTCATATTTTTGGGGACCATTCTGCGAGTGTGCATGTTATCCTTTTGAAGAGGTTAATTTTTTAATTTCTGCAAATCCAGTAAGCTTTTCGGAATCAAAACAACAGCAACAACGACAAAAAAGAATAAAATGAAACAAAATAACAGCAGCAAAGCAAAACACTAAATCGTCTCAGAGGGTGCCGCCATAGATCATTGTTTTGTTAACAACACCCAACAGTAGAGCTTTTGAAATAGCCTTTCTCAGTTCCGGTGATATATTTTAACTGAATCGCATACCAACGGGGTAAACATCTTTTCTAAGAGGCTGGCCCGAAGAAGTAAGATTTCCTTGCCAATCCTATTGTCTATTTCAATTTCACACCGTTTTGTTCTCGGACGGATTTTCTGTTATATATCCTAGTCTCTCAATGGAAATTCCATAAGTTTGTGATTTTTCTATTCTGTAATCAGAGGGTAATGCCGGCCTATTTACTAGATTTCTAGATCTAGATCTAGATTTCTAGATCAAGTCTAGATCTAGAGTCTAGATCTAGATATAGATCTAGTGGTAATGCCTAGATTAGAAATCTAGTCCAGCGGCCAGATTCTACAGTAGTGTAGAGGACAGTATACTGTGTATTAATTTTGTCTGGCCTGCTGAAAAGGTGCGTTGCAGAAATGATTGTAGATCTAGATCTAGATCTAGTGTTCAATTAGTATTAGCTTTTCTCATCTCATAATTTTGTCGGCAGACTTTAACGATCAAGTTATCGTGATTCCAGAGATCTAGATTCTAGATTCTATATTTATAGATCTAGAATCTAGAAGTGTAATTGAAATGGATTTTTAATTGTAAAACTAGATCTAGATCTACGTCTAGATCTATGAGGAGGCTGAGTCTACGCTTGAAATTGCGTTGCATAGATATTCAAATTTTGCTATATGCATGCAATTGGGTGCAAGGTATCACAGTTAACTACACGCACGCAATTGTGTGTACAGTCAAACCTGTGTAAAACAGCC